GGTACCTCGGGTTAAGTACTTAATTCGTTCTGGAGGTCCGTTCTTAACCTGAAACTGTTCTTAACCTGAAGCACCACTTTAGCTAATGGGGCCTCCCGCTGCCACCATGCCGCTGGAGCACAATTTCTGTTCTCATCCTGAAGCAAAGTTCTTAACCCGAGGTACTATTTCTGGGTTAGCGGAGTCTGTAACCTGAAGCGTATGTAACCCGGGGTACCACTGTATTAGCTTTTACAAGCTCGGTTGCTTCTGAGTTAGTACTGGTTTATAACAACCTGCACCCTGGGTAATATTCATTAGAAACATGGTCCAAAGTGCTAGAAGAACTAATTTCTGTCACTGCAGTGGTTGTTTAAGCCCGAAAGCAAAAGGTGATGCATCTCTTTAACAATAATCAATTTCTCAGATTTCCATGAGAGGGAAGAAAGCAGACCATTTGCAGGGTGGGGCGAGGAAGCGAAACTATCTGTGCGCACGAGGAAAGTGAATCAAAGCCCCTTCCCCTATCACTGATTACAAGTTATTATACAAGCCGAGCCCCATATTGTGCACTTCATTTACAGTAATTGTACAACAGCTGTATAATAGGTGTAGTTTAAGGTATGAGTGTTGCTCAGAGTGTAGCTTAAATGTCCACTGTGAGATGTGAATATGAATATGAATAGTCCTGACTGCATAGTAATTGGTAGTATTACGGGAGAGAATGGGGAAGCTACATATGGATGAATGGGTGAGGCCCGGGCGGGGTGCGGCACAGGAGACTAATGGCAGTTTTTATTTCTTCTTATAGATGTCTTTTACTTTAAATAATTAGCCAGGAGCAGAAGGGGGAGGTGGAATGAAAAGTAAGAAAGGAAATGAGTTTGGCACAAGATAGCTATGTATGAATTGTGCTAATTTGGTGTGTTTTTTATTTCGCTCCTGAATCCAAACGTATAACCTGAGCGCTGTGTCTGAGAGCCCACAATAGGTATACTACAAGATATTAGAAAACTAAGCTTCAGGTGTTGTTTATGTGATCCGTTCTCCTTGAACAAAACCTCTTAACTCACGACTAGGCAAATCAGTAGCAGCAGTAACAGCCTCCAGATGATGAGGTGCAGTTTCCTTCCTTTATTTCACCTTGTAATTCAAAACCTTGGAACCAATGAGATAGATTCAGTGCTTTTTTTCAGGAGGGACACAGGGGTACGCATACCCCTAAACATTTTGTGAATCGAAGTTTGGCCTCATTGAGTGGCAGTATTTCAATGTGAGTAGGAAAATGAAAGTACCCCTAAACAATTTTTTTAGGGGAAAAAAGAGAGCACTGGATAGATTCAAACTTAGTAATACTTAGTTCCCACTGAAACCAACGAGAATTTGTTAGACTGATTTGTCCAATTGATTTCAATGGGATCAAAGTGCAATTTAGTTACTCTGGATTCAACCCATTGTCATTGCCTTAGTATTAATTTTATTTACATATTTGTAACACATTTGTACACTAGTCTTCCCAACAAATATTATTCAGGGTGCTTCACAATAAGCATTTACAATAAAGCACACACATATAATGGAGCAAGAGCACTTTCCAAACTCATCACAACTTCAAAACCAATGCGGACAGCAGAATAAACAACTCAATTGCCCTGTTTCAAACTTAGCTTCCTTTTAAATGGGAATATGTTTTATTTACAATGGCAGAGCAAATAGAAATGTTTTTAACAATGTGGGTGCAAGGGAAGCTTCCCTGGGGAGGGAATTCCACAGCTAATGCTTCACCTATGCAAAAAAAAAGTTGTGTTCCCAACTCACTCCAAAAAGAACAGTGAATAAAGATGGAGGACTGGGGAGACGTAAATGGACAATGCTCTCAATGGATGGATGGAAGAAGATAGGTCTCCAAAGGACCAGGACTGGGACTTGTCCCTTTAATCTTGTTTAAGCACCCCTGGAGTTAGGTTGACAGTGAGGTGGTCAGGTTGCTGACCACACCAACTGTCCAGCAAGGAGAGAACAAAAGGGGCTTTAAGTAGCTCTGGTAAGGAAGAATCTCTCCAAACTGGATGAAAAGGGAGAAAGCTATGCAATGCAATTCAGTATAAGCAAGTGTAAAGTCATACACATTTGGGCAAAAGATGCTAACTTCTGGCGATGGCTGGCCAGGAAAGAAACCTTGGGTGGGTGGCTCAGTCAGGATGTTGACATGGTGTATAGCAGTGTATAGCAGGTGTAAAAAAAAAAAAAAGTGAATTGCAGGTTAGGGATCCTTAGGAAAGAGGTAAAATAAAACTGCCACTATCATCATGCTGCTACACAACTCTGTGGTTCAACATCTGCACTCAGAATACTGTGTTCAGTTCTGGTCACCACTCCTTAGTTCCTCATGAAGCTGGAAAGGGTCCTGAAAAGGAAAGCTGAAATAATCAAGGGTCTGGAGCATCTCCTCTATGAGGAAAGTTACAAGATTTGGGGGCATGTTTAGTATTTAATTTTAGGAGAGAGGCAAGAAAGGTGGGACATGGCTTTACACAGGGACTTAGGCAAGTTCATGGAAACTTCCCAATGTGTTTCATCCCATGGTTTAAAAGCAGCAAAGAGTCTTGTGGCGCCTTAAAGACTGTTGGCATCTGTCTGTATCAACAGAGGGGGTGAAATCAAACAGCACCAAAGGAAAGCAGATCAATACGTTTGACACCAAATTGGCTGCAGGAGTTGCCAGAAGGAGGCGTACAAGACGCCATCCAACCATCTTAGGTATTACACTCTGGATTTGTGTACAATTTACTCCTCAGTCTTTTCTTCTCCCAAGGTTATCCTGCAAGGCTGTGGAGGTTTAGGACCAGAGTTTTCCTTCTCCTAGGTGGGCCGCCTTACCAGGTTGATGAGCCCCATCTGCCCCTCACTTCCCTCTACAGCATGTGCAGAAACCACATTCTTGACCATTGGACCCACTATTGGTCTCATCTGCTCAATCTACTGGAGTCTGCCTTGACATTCAGGCGAAGTTCAACCTTAAAGACTAAGAGATCAAATTTGGCATAAGCTTTTGGGCACATCTGATGAAGTGAATTTCCGTCAATGAAAACACATGCTATGATAAATCTATTATTGGTCTTTAAGGGACTCTTAGCTTGTGTACAAACTTTAACTCATATTGAAAGTACATTCTTTCCCTCAAATAATACTGGGCACTGTAGTAACAATTCCCAGCAACCCTTAGCAAACTACAGTGAAATCTTTAAAGAGTGAAATGTGTTTTGAATATGTTTTCAATGTATAATGTGAACACAGCCTTGGTGCTTTTCTAGAAACAGATGAATATGCCTATCCTTCCATTGTTATTCAATTGTTCAGGTACACTAGAACAACGAAAATACATACAAAATGTCTAATTGCAATCCATCCTCCCCTCTAACCCCCAAAATTCCCTTTTAGTTTATTCAACTCTGAAGTTTTTATTCAGGTACAGGGGCCAGATTTTCAAATGAGCAACATTCAGAAACATTGTCACCACCCACTTAGTTATCAAGATACCAAGATATGTACAGGCAAAAAGCTCTTTAATTTTAATTGAACAGCAAGGAAAGTCCCTTGTTGCATAATAAGATCCCCTCATTATTTACAGCCATCTTCTGCCAATGTAACCAGCCGTATGAACTTGGGCTGAGTTGCCTACTTATGAAACTCCATTGCTCACTTATTTTACATGTGACTTGGCCGGCAAAAAGGTATGTGAAATTAAGGCAAATATAGAAAAAAATCTGCCAGTGTTTCTAACGCTGTTGGCTCTGGGGATGAGCGGGTTAAAGAATTGATTGGTTGATTCTTTAATTTCTATACCGCTTAAGATATTAAAATATATCTCTAAGAGGTGCACAGAAAACTGAAGCAAAAGCAGACAACATAAGCAAAATATTACAAAAAATCACATATAGATAGAAAAAAAATACACTGATACAAAGTTACTAATATATCTAAATCTATATCAGTTGATTTTCTTTCCAACATGCCTCTCTCACCCTCCTGGTTTTGCTGTTGTTTTTACAAGTCCTTCAATCAGATTCAGGTGCAAAATCATGTCTTTAAGAGGCAGAAACAGATGGAAAATGGTCTATTACTGCAAGGTACAGTGGTACCTTGGGTTACAGGTGCTTCAGGTTACAGACGCTTCAGGTTACAGACTCTGCTAACCCAGAAATAGTACCTTGGGTTAAGAACTTTGCTTTAGGATGAGAACAGAAATCACGTGGCAGCAGCGGGAGGCCCCATTAGCTAAAGTGGTACCAGGTTAAGAACAGGCCTCCAGAAAGAATTAAGTTCTTAACCTGAGGTACCACTGTAAAAGGTAAAGGACACCTGGACAGTTAAGTCCAGTCAAAGGCGACTCTGGGGTTGCAGTGCTCATCTCGCTTTCAGGCCGAGGGAGCCGGCGTATGTCCACAGACAGCTTTCCAGGTCATGTCGCCAGCATGACTAAACCGCTTCTGGTGCAATGGAACACCGTGATGGAAACCAGAGTGCACAGAAACGCCGTTTACCTTCCCACCACAGCAGTATCTATTTATCTACTTGCACTGGCATGCTTTTGAACTGCTAGGATGGCAGGAGCTGGGACAGAACAACGGGAGCTCACCCCACTGCATGGATTCAAACTGCCAACCTTCTGATCGGCAAGCCCTAGGCTCTATGGTTTAGACCACAGCGCCACCCGCGTCCCTCTATTACTGCACTCCACAAGCCATACCCTGTGATACGTTGGGCATCAGTACCCAGCACCCTGGGGTATCTGCTAGGGCCCCAGCAGAGCCTACCACTGATTTCTGCCCAGAGTCCCCCTTTAAATTGTTTTCCCCAGGAAACAATTCCCCCATCTTAACAGTACTGAAGCACCACCGCCACTTGGTGATGTACACAGGAAGATAAGATGCTGCCTTAGACCTAGTCACACCATTGGCCTAGCTAGCTCTACACTGACTGAGAGCGGCTCTCTAGGGTTTCAAGCAAGAATCTTTCCCAGCCCTACCAGGAGATGCAGGGAATTGAACTTGGGACGTTCTGCATGCAAAACAGATGCTCCACCACTGAGCTAAGCCTGCCAGGGCCCACCAACAAAGGAAGGTAACTTGTCATGATCTCATCAAACCTGGAGTAGCCTTGCCTTGGAATGACCTTCATTTTCCAGTGCGAATCTGCATCTGAGTTAATACAAAGCAGGGATCCTCACAGCCTAGTTCACAGGAGGGAAGGAGTCTTTTTGTTGCTGCTATTATGAAACATTATTGGGAGGTGCAACTCTTGCTGATCTACTGCACATCCAACAGTTTACCTCTAGATCCTCTAGATCCAGATCTGTCTGCTGCCAGTCTATTCCTTATTTAAGGATGAGCAGTTCCCTTGGGACCAAGTAGCTGGGTGCTACTTGCTTAGAGGCAAATTTTGGTCAGTAGTACTTGCCTCCTTCCATATTTGCAGACTTGGGACCAAATAAAACCATCTGACCAGGATGTGGTTTGTCCTCTTTGACAAAGAATCTGCCCCAAAGAGAAGCTAGGGGAACTTTGTAGAATGGTTCTGATTTGGCGAAAAATGCCTTGGGTTTATTATTTTGATTTTCTCTGTGTCAGTGGAACATCACAATCTCTTTGTCGTGCTAGTTATTATGTCTTGTTTTGCCGGAGATAAGTACTCTCTAAAATAATAAAGCGAATATGACACAGAACTGTACCTATTTATGAATTCTAAGGAATAAATGCAGCAAAATCAATTACAATTATTCATGTTGTTCTTGAAAATGACAGTACATGAAAAGAAAAGGGGGGGTCACTTACTCCCTCTTGTTTTAAGGCAGGTTTTGTTTACCTAGTCCCCCAGTGTTGAGAGGTTGCATGGTACATTTGCATAGGATAACTAACGCAAACAAGCCATTTTCACGTCCGCATGTACACGTGAGTAACAGTAATTACACGTGACACCAATTACTCTATTACTTTGTATTAAATTATAATGGAAAATTCCACTAGAGAATTGAAACCTAATTGCATCTTAATTTGCATAATTTTGCATATTAATTACATCTCAGATGAATAATAAATTTCAGCAGATTTTTAATTTATGCATAGACACAAAAACAAGTGGAGAAATAATTTAAGGGAGGGGGGAAAGAGAGAAAAATACCAGCAACTATTACTTAGGGCATTCAACTAATTTTGCTTAGTTTAGCAAAACAAAACTTGGTTTGTTTAATACAGCATCTTTAGCCTGATTGCTGTTTATTTCTCATTTCTTCAGTCTTGAAAGAGACACGGAGATTCATTTTCATTCACAGCTTTTAAACTGTAAGGATATTAAAATATTTCAAGTAAAATGCAGATTAGCTAATTTGGGCATTTGGATGTATCTGAAGGACATGCATATTATGTAATTTCACCAGTCTCATTTTATGGATTTTTGCAAAAATAGTATGAAAGACAACATTTTTGAATAGATTCTGTGATGAAACACCTTTCTTTTGACTCAAGATGATTGCTTAGGAAATATAAATTGTGTTATCTATTAATTTTGATGAAACCAAGGCCAGGAAACCATGTTTTTAAAAACATGTTTTAAAATAACTGCATATATTTAATACTTGTAAAGATGAGTGGCAGATATTTGCCTGGTCAAGTGTCTAAAAGGTATCATATTGATGAAAAACAAACAGTTCTAATATGTAGTCCTACAAGCATAGCTTTATAACCAATCAAAGAACAATCTTATTGAATTAAATAGGACTACTCATGTGCCCCAATTTCTAAAACTTAAAGGTCTCTATAACACATAAATGCAGTATGGGGCTTTGAATGTTACAATTTCTTAATTACAATTCCCACTCATATTCGTTTCACATTCCAGAAGAGCATATTGGTATGCTTGCTGTGACAACAAATTGGGAAATAATCAGGTACATGCGAACAGCTCTGCCTTGTACTAAAATCTTTCTGACAGTGGTAGCGTCATGCTGCTAGAATTTACTCCCAGGACCGGCTATCATAACTGTCAGCCCACTTATGTTTCTGCAGTCTAGCCTCTGAAAAGCGGAAGTCCCCATTCTGCTGTTAATTCACCTAAAGCCCTAATCTGGTATTATTCCCTTTTATACCTGCTGCCACCGACAATCTGCAAATGCCTGCGTCGAGAATAATGTGATTGATCATTTGCCAAACGATACAAAAGGAGTGGTTTAATAAATCAGGAGACTGCCAAGATCAATAAAGGTATTGCTCAACTGTGTGTGCTTGTGTGCAAAAGGCGGCGATGGGGGGCTGGGGGGGAGAAAAACCATCAACCCTACAAGATGCATATATTTTCCAGTGTGTTTTGTAGTTCTGTCAGTGTATGAGCTGGCTGAGAGCCAGATGCTTGCTCCGTAATCTCTAAGAGGCCATTTGATATATCTTTTATCATATTTGCCTGGTGCCTTCTCTTTTTTTCACTGAAATGAACCAGAAGACAGTAAACAAGAGTGCTACATGGCTCATCGTGTCTACAGTTACAGATTATCCTCTTTATTTTTATTTTTTGCTAGCCTGGCATTCACTGGGTCAGATGGGCTCTCTTATACAGCAGAACATCTGAAAGGAGTTACACTTTGGAAAACTTTTCCTCATTGGCAAAAAAAGAAAAAGTGCCATGCACAGCAAATGAAGTGGATCGTCGTTCTGTATTATTATTATTAAACATAATTTTAAAAAATGAAATCCATTAATACTATGCGCCTGGTTCTCCTAGCAGGCGTCTGTCATGGTTCCTCCAAATATCACACTAAATCCCATTAGTAGCGTCGTCGTTTTGTCCCCTTCTCATGCCAAAGTAGAAACAGTCGAGCTTTCAGAACTTGCATTCTAATGAGCATCCCAGACCGTCCTTTTACTTTCTGAACGTCTAATGTTACACTGGAAACATCTGATGATATTCTAGCTACAGAAACAAAGCGGCAACTCTTAGCCAATGGGTCCCTCTCCTGGCCATGGTTAAGCTCTGCAGGGCAGATAAAAGTTTGCTCTTGTTTTGCATTTCATTTTCATAAAACAGCAAGCAGGAATCACAATCGGATCCATTGGGAATGAATGTCCCTGATCCTCACGTGGAGTCAGATTCTCTGGTTTAAGAGCACATTGTCTTTTAAGATTCCAATTAGCAGCATAAAATGTTCTCAAAGCCAGTACTTCTGCATGCTGTCTTGCCTCCTCATCTATAGTAAAGGTAAAGGGACCCCTGACCATTTGGTCCAGTCGTGGCCGACTCTGGGGTTGCGGTGCTCTTCTCGCTTTATTGGCCGAGGGAGCCGGCATACAGCTTCCGGGTCATATGGCCAGCATGACTAAGCCACTTCTGTCGAACCAGAGCAGCGCACGGAAACGCCGTTTACCTTCCCGCCGGAGCGGTACCTATTTATCTACTTGCACTTTGACGTGCTTTAGAACTGCTAGGTTGGCAGGAGCCTCATCTATAGTAATGCTAGATTAATTCCATATTTCAAGTGTAGCCAGTTTGGGGGTCCTCCCATCACCCCCTACCATTTCTTACGCTTCCCAGAGCCCAGCATCTGAAAGGACCCTGTTACTCACTCCTGCCATATTTGAAATACAGTATGGGGGGATTCGTGGCACAAGGAGCAGCACAAACTCAACCTCTGCTAAGGCGAGTGGCTTTTGAAATAGGAAGATCTCCGACTCAGGTGCCTGAGCCTGGCATTAACTGGGGCTATGCTGGCTGAAGATCCTTATCCTGGCTCAGCAGGATATATGTCAGTGTAAGGCCTCCATCCTGGCTCAGGTAGATGAACCAACAGCTGAGGCTGTGGTTAGCCCACAAAAGGAGCATTCTGGGAGTTACGGGGCAGTGTCATGGCAGGGGTAAACCGCACCTGTTCCAAACGCTGTTCAACTCAGTCCCATGACTTAGCAAATAATAAGAAGTTACACTGGTGAAAAGGTGGTATAAATTCTATTTTAAAGGTTTGTTTTCCCTCAGGCTGGATCTACACTGATGGTAAAAATGCTGCAACCCCCCCCCCCCCCAATAATCACTCTCAATGCAACTTCCCATTGATGACAAATCACTGCTCTATAGCGCCCTCTGATGTCAGATTATAACTGATCAGTGTAAAAACCTAGGATAGAATAAATAACATTAAAGTCAAAATATGCTATAATATGGCAGTGAATAATGGATGAGAAATAGAAGTAAGGAGTAGACGGGAAGTCAGCTATATAGGAAAAAGTCATTTTTATGTTAAATGTATTGTGAGCAATATTCAATGTATTGTTGTTTTTTGTTTTTATTTTCTTTCTTTCTTAGTTGTTAGGAGGTGATGGATATTTGTGTATCTTCATATTTTCTTTTTGTATGTGGTGTATTAAAAATGAATACATATATATATATATATATATATATATATAAAAACTGATCAGTGTAGATTTGCCCTTTGTTGGGGGTGGAATAGCTGCGCTCCTGAATAGAGTAATAATAAATTACACTGGCATAACTTACCCTGGCTTCCTATAGCTTTTATTGCTCTACTTCCCTGTTAGCTGTATCCTGCGTCACTTTCAGGGAAGTTAAAAACTGTACTGGGCCATGGGAAGGGGACTTTAGGACCTGAAACTCAGTGAGTTTAGACTGAGCCCAATCTGCAGGCCAAGTTGGAATGATAATGATTGTTTTTCTCCCAGGAGAAAGGCACCCACAAGGGAAAGGTAATCAAAAAGAGGATCATTTTGAAGGCACAGGATTAAACCCCCTTTCGCCTCATGCCCCCCTCCGCCTATCCACTAGGCTCCATTTTGTAAACAAAACAAGCACGTGAGGACCAGGTGTGTCTAGTTTTGGGTCTGGCAGGATGTCTGCAAAGAATATGTTTGCATTGAAGGGAGTAGAGGAGACCTGGCAGGATAGGTTTATAGGGCTTGGGGAGAACAGGACTGTGAATGAACTGTGTGCATGGAGCAGGGATAACTTCAGAATCAATGCTGCAGAACTGTTATATTGTGCTTCAGTGATCGTCAGGGATGCTGGAGGATTCTGGTTAAAATGGAAAAGGAAGCAAAAATTGCTGCAGTTTCCATGTTCATCCGTGCTCAGAAGCAGAATGCAATCAGTATTCATTCACATGTTTTGACATTTCATTTACATTGAAACAAATCTAAATTGCATAAGGTGTGTAAATAGTTACATAAGTTATGTAACGTATGTTTAATAATGGACAGTGGTATGAATGAGGTTGTGTGTGGTGGACACTGAACTGCAGCAGAAATGAAGCAGTGCTGATTGCGGCAAATACAGGTTGGACTGAAAATCTCTGCCTTCTTACAGCCCCAGTGAACTCAATTCTGACCAAACTAAGTCTCCTAGAGCAAAATATACATCAGGAGGCTTAGTTAGAATTGAGTATACACTTCCAGAGTTAACGCTAAATACATTCCTTCAGGTAAATGAGTCACCACAGCTGCTAGAGGGCCATGGAAATTTGTGCCCCAGGATTTTTAGACTTGTCTACCTACCCATGTACTATCTGAAATCAAAGGGGTGCCAGATGTGAAATATATTGGCATTATTTTCAGCTCTCCTACCCCACTATTTGGTAATGGATGAGGACATACAGCTTGGATAGCCCAGTTGGTTAGAGCGTGGTGCTGATAAGGGCAAGGTTGCAGGTTTGACAGCTGCATATTCCTGCATTGCAGAGAGCTGGACTAGGTGCTGTTTCTCAGACATTAATGCCATAAAACAGGCTTGAAAGAGCCTGTTTCTCTAGATGCTGCTGAACTCTACCTGCATGGCCAACGGTCAGGGATGATGGGAGTCGGAGACCAGACAAGTTTACAGAGCAACAGCTTCCCTGTCTTCACCATAGAATATGTTGAATTTAAAGAAGATTGGAAGGACTTTATTACATATATACAGAAGCAATGTACACAGGTCAATACATTAGCAGGATTCTAGAAATACTTGTAATGATATTATGAATGGACAATAAGTAATTTCAATGGTTTTTTAATTTAAAATGGACATGCGGTATGTTGATAAACAATGCAACCAGGGAAGGGATTAGGGAGGGAGACAAATTTTCTTCTTCTTCTTTTCTTCATTATGCTTGATTATGAATATGTATTGTTGATGTTTTTTGTTTTTGGAAAATTAATAAAACATATAGTAATAATAAAAAAGAATATGTGTGAGAAATAAAACGTAACTTCATCAGCTGTTACAGCTACTGTTTCCTTCAGGAGTCATGACTGGGCTATCATCTTCCCCACAAAGATCAATGAGAAGCTAAAGGAGAACAGGGTAAAAAGGTGAAACTTTCTCATCTGCAGTGATAATTTCTTTGCAGCTCCTTACAAAGTCCTGGTTCATCTTGCTTAAAAATACAAGTGTTGGATGAGAGAAAATTTTATCTCCTCTCCTTCCAAACTTGCAATTAATTTCTCCATTGCCACAGTATTCCAGCCTGATCTATGGAGTGTGCATATATTGATTTTATTAATCTTTATTGGTTTACAAATAATTTGAAGTGTGTATCCTAAAGATTGTTGTTGGAGCAAACTGCCCAAACAAGAAGGGCGTGTCCAGAGCTATTCAGAAGCTACCCTATAAGTGACAGACTCATTTGACCAACTAAAGTGAGCAGCTTCCAAAAGCACAGTATTTTTTTAATGGTACACCATTTCTTAAATCAGGTTTCAGCCAGTCTGGTGATCAGATGCAAAGGAAATTGGTTTCTAGGACCTTTAAAATCCACAAGAAGAATTTTGGATGTAGTGTATCATGGAGAGAGAGAAACTCATAGGAAGCCTATCCTTTAAGTTTAGTCTGAACCTGTTGACAGGCTTAAGATCAGATATTTGTCTCTTCCAATTGGAGTTTAAGTTGGATAAGTATACATGCATACAATTGTTATATATATTTCTAGGAGAGTTCCATAAGAAGGTGGGTGGTGCTGTGGTCTAAACCACAGCCTCCTGGGCTTGCTGATCAGCCGTTCAAATCCCCACAACAGAGTGAGCTCTCATTGCTCTGTCCCAGCTCCTGCCAACCTAGCAGTTTGAAAGCATGTCAGCTCAAGTAGATAAATAGGTACCTCTGTGGCAGGAAGATAAATGGCATTTCCGCGCGCTCTGGTTTCCATCACAGTGTTCTGTTGCGCCAGAAGCAGTTTTGTCATGCTGGCCACATGACCTGGAAAGCTGTCTGTGGACAAACGCCAGCTTCCTCGGCCTGAAAGCAAGATGATCGCTGCCACCCCATAGTCACCTTTGACTGGATTTAACCGTCCAGGGGTCCTTTACCTGGAGGAGGACAATTGTGATCAACTCTTTCAGAGAGATTCTGAAAGAATGAGCAAAGATGAGAATTGTTGTTGTTGTTTAGTCATTTAGTCGTGCCTGACTCTTCGTGACCCCATGGACCAGAGCACGCCAGGCACTCCTGTCTTCCAATGCCTCCCGCAGTTTGGTCAAACTCATGCTGGTAGCTTCGAGAATGCTGTCCAACCATCTCGTCCTCTGTCGTCCCCTTCTCCTTGTGCCCTCCATCTTTCCCAACATCAGGGTCTTTTCCAAGGAGTCTTCTCTTCTCATGAGGTGGCCAAAGTATTGGAGCCTCAGCTTCAGGATCTGTCCTTCCAGTGAGCACTCAGGGCTGATTTCCTGAGAATTAGCTGATCTGAAACTGGTAAAACACTTTATTTTTTGTTTCCTGAGTAGCTTCCTGAACTTTTTAGTCTCCCATATTGCAAATAAAAAGAGTGTTTTAAAACTGCAATTTCCCCCCTCAAAAACGCCTTTAAAAGACTCCATTACTTAAAGTGATTTGGATAATTGTGTTCAATGGTAGCCATTATTTAAAAATATAATTAGTTGCTGAACTCAGAGAGGGAGGGAAATTTTTTGCAGGTGTTTCTCATTATTTGCTGTGCATACAAAATACCTGCATAAATTACCTTGATGCCAAACGCATGCTAAAAGACAATGAAGCCTTAGCAGACAAAGAGAAACAGTGTTGACCCACAGTCTAGCGTGGCCTCGTGACAGAACCATGCAGGTGGTTTGCATGCATGTGTGGAAGAACATTTAAGACTGAAGGTTGAAGGCAGCACCTGCAGCCATGCCTTTAGTATACAACACAAGTCCCACCAGAGAGATATTGATAATGCACACAGTTCTGTAGCAAATCCCAGCATGGAATGCTTGTGAAAATGTCTGGATATCACCTGGGAAAAGGTGACTAATGATGGGCTGAATTACTTTTTGCACATTGTTATTTCATGCAAGGCATGTTTTCCAGGTAAAACCATTCATGGCTTTCTCTTAGAATACAGAAAATGCGGCCCATTACCTACCGAGATGAGGACATGTGCAATCACTCTCGAATATCCCAGACTAGCATGGTGACTGAAACAGAGCTGTATGGGTTCATGTGCTACGTGCGTGAGTGATGTCAGCATGCCGGGGAGGTGTGGTGACTTAGCGCGCATGCTCTGCGATGTGCCCCCCAGTGACAGCACACGGCCCCACGCACCTGCAGCTTGGGGGGCAAGACGCTGCTGCTTCTCCCCAGTAAGATTTACTGATATCTCACCACATTTTTGCCTCTGCTTCCTGAGGTCTGAGAGTTGCTAGGAGACTCCTGTTCTTCTCACAGAGCTACAATTCTCTGAGTGGCTCAATAAACCACTTTCCAGTGAACTCTGGGAACTGAAGCCCTGTGAAGGAAATAGGGGACTCCTAACAACTTTAGGGATGTGGGTGGTGCTGTGGTGTAAACCACTGAGCCTTGGGTTTGCCGATCGGAAGGTCTGTTGTTCGAATCCCCGTGACAGGGTGCGCTCCTGTTTCTCAGTCCCAGCTCCTGCCAACCTAGCAGTTTGAAAGCATGTCAAAGTGCAAGTAGATAAATAGGTACCACTCCGGCAGGAAGGTAAACAGCGTTTCCATGCGCTGCTCTGGTTTTGCCAGAAGTGGCTTAGTCATGCTGGCCACATGACCTGGAAAAACTGTCTGTGGACAAACGTTGGCTCCCTCGGCCAATAAAGTGAGATGAGTGCCGTATCAGAGTGCTCTAAATATATGGTACAGATGGGGTCTTTAGAGCATTGTTGCAAGGGTTAAATAGGGTTTGGGTACCAGATCATGTACACTGCTTTGAGCTCCTTGGAAGTAAAGTGAACTACAGTAGTACCTCAGAGGGTGAACGCCTTGCAAGTCGAACGTTTTGGCTCCCGAATGCCACTAAGCTGGAAGTGAGTGTTCCAGTTTGCAAACCTTCTTTGGAACCCAAATGTCCGACATGGGTTCTGCAGCTTCTGATTGGCTGCAGGAGCTTCCTGCAACCAATCAGAAGCTGTGCCTTGGTTTCCAAACGTTTTGGAGGTCAAATGGACTTCTGGAATGGATTCCGTTCGACTTTCAAGGTACGACTGTATAAACAAACAGACCAATTCAGAGATTTGATTCTGTGAACCAGGGTCAGAACAGGAACTTCCTCTAACAATAAAGAGATCAACAGAAATATCTGTGATGACGTAGGCCTTCACTTTCCTTGTGTACAATTTGTGATGTGACTGTCATTTTAACTATTAAAAAGAGGGGGAGAATAATGATCGTTTGTATGGGCTACTTCAGTGCCCTAATCAGATTTGATGCTGATTATTGGAGTCTCTCAAGAAATCCTGATCTTATAAGTAGTTGGGCAGGCTCGTCACAAAACAAGGAAGAACTGATAGACTCATTCTTTCTTTTGAGATTAAATGTAATTGGCTTAAAAAGATAATGGTTCCTTTTGTCTGATTTTTATGCATTTCTTATGAAGAGCTAACACATTTTACGATAGTCTGACAAAGTACCGCCTTTTATCCTCATTTCCCAGTGGATAAATACTTTGTTAATTAATAAAGTATTATACTAGCAGTTAGCGTCTGCATTTAAACATGGAAGGGTTTTATTCAGATTATGTTAATAGATTGTTCACCCTCTTTTGGCATTAATTACAACCTTTTATTGTGGTATTCTCAGAAGAGAATTGTTGCTGGGAATAGGGGTTTTTCTTGGATTATATTTTGTTTCACTACTCTGTAAAAAAAAAAGTATTGTTCATACTGAATGTGAAAGCTGATGCTGAAATATTTACTGAGAATAAAATTAGCTGCTTGTTTTGTGTTTTTCATGCTTCAAATTTATTACGAAGTGATTACTCCAAAAGACAACGGGTTGGATCCAATGTTCGTTCTAGACAAATTGAAATGAATGGACATTGTTATCTTAGGCCTGTTAATTTTAGTGGGTCTACTCTGACTCGAAGCTACCAGCATGAGTTTGACCAAACTGTGGGAGGCAGTGGAAGACAGGAGTGCCTGGAGTGCTCTGGTCCATGGGGTCACGAAGAGTCGGACACGACTAAACAACAACAGCAACACTCTGACTAGGACTTAGTTGGCCACAATCCTAAATTAGCTGCACCAAGATCCCACCATACTCAATGGGGCAACTTAGTCATGATTTCACAGGAGTCCCATTGATTTCTGCTTAATGTATTAATGTATATGAACCAACCCTGTGTTGAAGCAACTCATTGCTAAAAGCACAACAACCCTTACTTTGTCCAGGAAAACTCTAGAACCTGCAAATTCTGGAAAATATGCTGACAAAATGGAAATGCGCAGAATTTCACACACATTCCAGAATTGATGGAA